TTAGTAATGAGCAATCCAGGTGAGTTATGAAACAAATCTGTGGAATGATTCGGGTTGGCCATGTGTTGGCCAGATAATGGTTTTACCTCAATCTATGGAAACAAAACAAAGAAGGAAAAAAAAAAAAAAAAAGAAAGAAGAGAGAGGCATGTAAGTACTGAAAGTGAAAAACTTATAATTGGAAGGTTGTGATAGTGGAGTAAGGCTAAGGGTCAATATTAAGGTGAGTTATATTATTCCTTCAGTTACCATAATATATTTTACATATATTTTTATTTATCATAATTTATTTTATACAAGTTATATTTTATAAGTTATATTAATTCAAGTTATGTTTTAGAAATATTTCCGTTACGTGCTCTATTTGTTTAAATGAAACCCATGGATATATTTGTTTAAATTTTAAAGAATATTTGACTATGACCTTATAAACAAAAATGTTTTGTAAGTACCACCACGGGAGTCCCACGCCTCGGGAGACTTAAATAACCATTGGCCTCTGTTTGGCCACTTTGTGGTCCTCTGTTTGTCATGGATCCATTGACTTCTGTTCTAATTGTCACTTCTGTGACCTTTGTTATGTTATGTTCTATGCCGTGGTTATGGTTATTTATTTACATAAATTTTGTGTTTCAATTTCTGCCACTTAAATAATTTATTTACCAAATTGAGTTATGTAAATGTTTTGGTTTAACTAAGTATCCATGATTATTTTGTATTCCCTATATTCTTGGCATAATATTTCTCACTCTACTGTGTGCTTATAGCTGCTACCCTTTCAAGTGACGAGATGTAGGGGAAACCCAAAACCTCACGAAATGGAACTCGCACGTGGATTGATGTTGAACCACTTTTTTTTTCCTTCTTCTCTTTTTTTTTTTTATATTTTTACTCCATTTTATTCTACTTGGGACCGGTCACTGAATAATAAAATAATAAAAGCCCTATAAATATATTTCTCTTATTAAAATAATAAAATGGAGTAAATTCCTGTTTAATTATTTTTATTTCCGCTTGCGCAGTTTAATTTGCTACAAATAGAAAAATTTAGTAAGTTGAAATTCCAACCCTAAGCCCCTGGGATTGGGTCGTGACAATGTTTAGTGTTTGTATGTGTGCTAGATATCAATCAAATCCTAAAGAATCCTATCTCAGTGTTGTTAAAAGAAATTTTAGATATCTTGTTGACACTCAAAATTTGGGACTGTTTTATCCTAGAGGTGTTGCATTTGATTTAATTAGTTACTTGAATGTCGACTTTGCCGGATGCAAACTTGATAGAAAAAGCACCGGTGGCACTTGTCACTTTCTTGATAACTCATTAGTATCTTAGTTTAGCAAAAAGTAAAATTTTGTTGCTTTATCAACAGCCGAAGCTGAATATATAGCTTCCGAAAATTGTTGTGCCCAAATATTTTGGATGAAACAACAATTGGAGGACTTTGATTTGCATTATGATCATATCCCTATTAAATGTGATAATACTAGTGCCATCAATTTAAGCAAAAATCCGGTTCAACACTCACGAACAAAACATATTGAAATTCGACATCATTTTTTAAGAGATCATGTTCAAAAAGGGGATATTGTACTTGAATTTATAAACACCGACAAGCAATTAGCGGATATTTTCACAAAACCCTAAGCGAGGATCGCTTCAATTTTATTTGTGGCGAACTTGGAATATCGATTTCTACTTAAAAAGTTTTGTTATGACTATGAAACTTGAATTTTTGTTAAAATGATATATGTGTAATGCTACATTGATATGAAAACATTTATATCAGTTGCATTCTCTCAAGTCCTTCATACATTTATTATCCTTAACAGTTTGCTATTCTCAACTGTGTAATTTTTTTGGGGGTTCTGCATCTTGAGGTAAAATTAACTTTGCACACATTGATTTTCTTTAAAACTCTCACGGTATTTTTTTTGCATTACCCTTCCAGCCCCACCGACGTCCCATTAAGTATAATTTCTGCTGGTATTATTTTATTTTATTTTATTTTTTGCTATTAGGTTTAATTTCTTTTTTTTCATTATTATTTTTTATTTGTGCTTAATTTTCTTATTTTTTTCTGCTTTTTAATTTCATTTTTCAGTACTTAAACATAAAAACAAAAACAAATCAAAATACAAATATTTACATTAAAAAAAAAAACACCCTTCATTTTTTTACGGCCATATGCCAATCAAAATAAACATATTTACATATAAAAACAAAAACAAAAAACAAAAAAAAAACCCCTTCATTTTTTTTTACGGCCATACGCCGATCTTACTTACTCGTCTCTTCCAGCGCTCTGTTCTTCTTTTTATCACCTTAGGCAACGCTTGATGTCCCTGCCTCCGTGCTTTCGTCGAGCGCAAGCACTCCCCGCCGACTATCAAAAGCCAAGAACGACGTTACTCCAAATCAGGCCATGGAGATGGTCTTCCACTTAAATTCTTTATTTTCGGCCTTCAGTGCGCCTATCTCTGCTCGCGCATCCTCATACATGCGCTGGAGCGGAGAGAGTTGGGCGTTGACCTAGTAGAGCTCACTCGTCCTATTCTGCACACGGTGAGCCAATTTTGTGACTACAATCACCGTCTCCATACAGGACGTCAGTGTGAAATGATTGGCTTCAATGTCTAATTGAGCTGTCATTATTTGCTCAATCGACATCATAGGAAGGTAGGGAAGAGTAGGAGCCGGGGCACTGGGCCAAGCAACGCTTATAGGATCCTTTAGGTCCGGAAAGAGAGTAAGGGGACGGGACGAGGCCATGTAGTAGGAGAGAGAGATGTAATCGAAAGGAGGGTCATTTTTGGCAGCCCTTCTGCTCTGCTCAGTCTCTCTATTCTATCTCTCTCACGTAGAAGACGAAAGAAATGGAAGCGAATGAGAAAGCAAAAAGAGAAGAGAGTGATTAAGAAGAAGACGGAGGAAAAGACGACAAGAGGGAGAGAGAGCCGAGGCAGTTGATTGACCCGTCTCGCTTTTGTCAGTCGGCTAATGCAAAAGTGAGGACGCGTGTCCAACGCGATTTTTGATGGAAAAGAGAGAGGCACGCGAATCGTATCTATATGTGTATATATGTTTTGAATTGTATAGATGCCATTTATTACTGTCATTTTCCTCCTCCTCCAGATTCTGACCCATGATTTCCTTTTGATAATGTCACAGGGAGAGAAATTATATGATGTTATGTATTATGGTATTATTTTCAAATTATGGTATTATTTGAAAACTAATCTGATGATTATGTATTTATAGTTTGATGTCTTAGTCTCATATCATGTCTCTAATTAAAGCTTATTTATTACACAAGTGCTAACCTATGTATTTATAAATGAATTCAAGGAGCATGACTTGAGGCCTTTTCTTACTCCTAAATCAAATCAAAACATCATTGTGTGCCATCATCAAAAAGGGGGAGATTGTTAAACTTATTTATTTTGATGATTTATTTAATTATATTTTAATTTATTTGAAAGAGAAAAATAGAAGCCAAAATTTATTTTGATGATTTATTTAATTATATTTTAATAGAATCCAAAATTTATTTCGATGATTTATTTAATTATGTTTTAATTTATTTGAAAGAGAAAAATAGAATCAAAATTTATTTTGTCCCATTATTTCTCACCTAAACCTTTATCCTAAATATTGTTTGAATGTATTTAATATTTACTTAAATCAGGAATTCATTTCAACCCAAAAATATTGCTCAAACCAGAGGTTCAAACAGCTCAAAACAAATGTTCAAACAGCCCAGCACAGCAGCAGGCCAAAAGGTTCAAATAGCCCAGCACAGCAGCAGACCAAAAGGTTCAAACAGCCCAGCACAGTAGCAGACCAAAAGGTTCAAATAGTCCAGCACAACAGCAGGCCAAAAGGTTCAAGTGAAAGATATTCAAATTAGTAATGATGGAGCGGAAGATATTCAAATGAATACAACGGCTATAAACGGCTATAAATTCAAATGAATATAACAACTGTAAACGATTATAAATTCAAATGAATACAACAGTTATAAACGGCTATAAATTTCATTATGTATACCAAAGCCTCTAATGTAAACAAGTTACAAAAAAAATCAGAAAATATTATTTGATCTATAATCACTCACATCTATTCTCTGAAAAATTCTCTGAGAAGTGTTCTTCAATTTTTGTTTACATCCTCTTTCAGAAATTATACACTGAGACGTATAATTTTAAGCCCATCTTTCCTGTGTGAGGTTTACAGAAAAATCATAGCTTCATTTTTATATCTATCTTTGAGAGATAATTCTTGTAGCTTTTTGTGAAAGCAAAAACACATTCTTTTCAACCTTGTAAGAGTGTAGTACACTCAGTGTTCTTGACTTAGAAAGTCTGTGTAAAATCTGTAGAAGATTGCTCCATCTATGAAAAGGTTGCTAGCACCCTGTGAAACTAAAGTATAGTGGAAAATCTCAAGTGAAACTTGAGGAGTAGACGTAGGCCGAGTTAAAGCCGAACCACTATAAATTTGTTTGCCTCTATGTCCCTTATCTCTTTAATATATTTAAATTGCCATAGCTATATTTCACATTTTTACTGTGCTAAAATCATTAACTAACATAGTTGTTAGAACAATTATTTTAATTATTTTTATTTCATTAACTATATTTATCTATTGTGCTAGTCATAATTTTTATTAGGGTATTATTTTTATTTGTAAAAACCTAATTCACCACCCTCTTAGGTTGTCTTTTGGGTAACAGTTTTAAATTTTACTGTCCCATATATGTGTCTGCACAGCTCTATGGACATTATATGTTTGTATAATTGTTTCCGTTAGCCCCTTATTTTGTTAATCTGTTCAGAGGCCTTTGGTAATCCCAGGATTACTGGCTGGTCACGATGTTAAACCTATAGGGGTGGGTTTTGGTGGTGACATAGTTGCCTTTGTTGCAAGCTAGGTTGACTTGTTTTTTATACTAGTCCTAGATGTTGGCCTACCTCTATGCGTAGGCCTTCTCATCAATCACCTTGATCTCGACCTTCTTTGTCTCTAGGGCCTCCTTCAAGGCGACCTTGGCATCGGCAGCTCTGTCCTCGGCAACCTTGGAAGCAGCCCTAGCGGCTTTGGCAACTACATCGGCCTGATTTTCGACGGCCTTAGCTATTATCTGGCCACATCTACCAGGTTTTTGATTTTGGTCTCAACTTTGTTAAGTTGGAAGAGGAAGCCTACAACCTCCTTGGTCTTTTTGGTGAGGTCTTTCTTCACCAACTCGACTTTGACCGCATAAAAGTGTGCGTGCTGGATGGCTTGCAAAATAGAGAAGTGAATTAGTAAAATTTCACTAAGTACAAGAATTGCAAAAATTGAAAAGAAATGGAAGAACCTTACTAAGATAGAGTGCCTCATCATTAAAGTGAAATCCTCATACTTATTGTAATCACTAATTTCACTCATATCAGTGGGTAGGAGTAAGCCCGTGGTCAGCGTGGCCTCGACTTCAAGGTCCTTAATGGCGCTGTCACCGACCATCAGTAGTCGATCACCCACCATGATCTCGAGAAGTCAAGTGTCCTTGGGCAAGGCGTCCCTTTCGCCACTTGGCCCGACAGACCTTGGCTTCTTCGCTGGTAAGGCCTCAGAAGAGTCCCACATCGCTGCTCTCTTCTCGGCCTCAACCAATCTAGAAATTGGTACCGAGTCTTCTTCGTCCCTCTCTTCGTCGGAGGCGAAGGTTGTGACTTTGGCCTTGGCCTTTTTCACCCTCTTTGGTCCCTAAAAGGATCGAGTGGAACGATTGGACTGCACAATAACAATCTCAAGAAGACCGGCGAACAGGTCATTGGCTATCGTAGGTTTGTGACCCATTTCGACAGAAGTGGCGGCGACGATATCCCCGGTGCCGAATTTGATTGTAAGGAGTGTGCTGGGAGGGTTAGCAAGATTGTATGGCAGAGCATTAACACCTTGGCACTTCTTGCTCTGCGTTCTCCTAGTCGATATGTTTGGAGGACGGCAACGGCACTAACGTTGGGCTGGTGGAATGTAATATGGAGCTGATGTGGATGGCTAGTTCACTAGGTCAGAAGCGGAGGCTTGGTCTGCTCTGGGAGATGATGCGACTGGTGGAGTTGTTGTAGATGGTAGTGTTTTGCTCCTGACATAGATGTCGAACAGAGGAGATCGATAGGTCGGGACATAATTGAAAAGGAAAAAGGCCTTGCGGTCCTAGACATGTAAGTCTAGAAGCCGTTTCAGGTCAAGGCTTTGGACGTACGACTTCCGAAATGATTTGAACGCCTGAGGAAGAACTACAAAATAGAGTAAAAAGGGAAGAAAAAAAAAACTTCAAAAAATGATTAAGTATGCAATGCAATGTTAAAAATGCATGGTTTGAGGTGACTAAGTTCTTATCCTTATCTTCCCTGAAAACTCCTCGACCTAAGAGGAAGAGGTGGAGATCATCATCTGGATGATGACCCAAACTCTCAGTTGCCCAACATAATCAGATAGTCTTCTCCAGCGCCCTTGTTGGAGTCTAGAAGGTTAGCTATCAGTTTGTATGTGGTAGATCGGGGTTTGAGGTAACTGGTGGACTTGAGGCTACACATGGTATAGCAGTACTGGATGTCGGCAAGGGTGATCCTAGCGTGGTAACGATGGCATAGCTCGGCTATACCGTTGATAACCCTAAGGTGTTAGTGGCTAGTTGCATGGGGTTAAGCCTATAGAAGTGTAGCACTTCTCGAAAAAGAATGTCAAGGAGGAATCTGATTCCACCCTTGATAATGGACACCACGAGGAAAGGCATGTAATTCTCCCTGGGTATAGTAGAATCGTTCTCTTTAGCGAGCCTAAGGTGGGTGTTAGTTGGGATGTTGAATTTTTGACAAAAATACTCAAGTTTACTAGGGGAATCTACTCTCCACTTAAACATACCCATGATCCTGACTGAGAGGATTTTATATGGCCTTCAATACAAGATTGTTTTCATAACGATAAAGGGATCTCAGCGTGACTCCAAAGGACACAAAAACAAGGATTCTAGTAATCTAATGAAGGTTTTGGGTATATGTAGCTTTCATTTTCCTAAAGTGAGTAATGATCTACAAATCCCAAACCTAAATCTACACAAAAAGACAGCTAAAATGGGCAAAAATCGAAGGAAAGAAAAATATAAACAAATTCAAATTTTGAAACAAAAGGCATGAATTAACACATATGCAAGAAATACAAGCAATTGAGGATAACGATCGTGATAGTCCAAGTGCTAGTGTGAAAAAACCAGAAAAGTGATGTGCAAAGGGCATTTACAGACATAGAAACATGAAGACATGCTCAAGAATATAAAGAGCAGTAAAAAATTGAAGACTGAAATTGAAAAGGGGAAAATTCAAGGACTTACAGATTGAAGCCACGGAAACGAAGGTCAAAATCCTGTTTGCCGAAGTAAGACGACACTCTTAATCGGGGTGAAATGGCAGAATGATCAATGTAAGTGATGAAATGAGGCGGGTGCAGACGCACCCTCGGGCTTCATGCTACAGTTCGGACTCCCTTTGTGCCGGTTCTTAGTCTGAACCAAAGAGTCCAAATCCGGCAAATCGTTTTGAGAAAACAGATTTTTAGAAAAGAAGTGCCAAACATGGACTGCTTTGCCAGATACAGAGTCGCCACCTAAATATTTTTTATTGGGGAATTTAGGAAACCCTGACTCGTTTGCCTAAGACCACGTGTCCGTCATTACCAAAGTTGCCTCGGCTTGGGAACTTGGGTACGATTGGGGAAGGTCAGCTATGAGAACCCCCTCTCCTCCGATCCGAAGATCGGCCTCTACTAACCATGATATCCAATTTTGAAAACGTTATGTGTTCTTATTCCGGTTAATTAGCTAGAATTACTATGTGATGCGCACAGCAAAACAAGTATAAACTAGATCGCCTAATTTGGAACAAAGCATCGCATATCTGTTTGTTTGAAAAATGTTTTGAAATTTGCTACTCGGGAGTAGGCTAAAACACGAATTTTGATGAGTTGTTCCAACTCAAGCAATCCAACCTTCACTCACAGGCATTCAGGCAGTTCATATCACATAAGTATCTAGCCACATGGTAAGCATGTTGTCATGTTAACATTCACACATGTGCGAGATACTAAAGCACAAAATACTTACAGTGTACTCCAAGCCAAAATAAAGAACTCGTTAGCAATCAATGTATGATCCAAGTCCATGTTAAGTGGCTAATGCAATGCATATAGAATGCAATCTAGAATACGCTCGGCTAATCTAAGGATGACATGTGAAATACGA